TGTCTCGAAGCAGTGACCTGTCAGAGGAGATGAACGAAGTAGCGCGCAGGCCTCCCAAACCCCCACCGGCGGCCAAGCGGTGACAGCCCAGCTCATCGTCATGAGCGTGTGAGCTGCTGGTAAGGGGAGAAGCAGCGTGCACGGCTGCAGGGAATCTCACTGAAAAAACCGAGCTGGAATGAACACAGAAAATGCTGAGGCAGCCACGCCAGAAGCGTCTCGAAGCAGTGACCTGTCAGAGGAAAGGCATCCATCGATATATATCTTCCGGGTAAAAACATTTACTTCACTCCAGGACACAGCTTTTCTAGGATGTAGTTAACCAACCACTATGCTTGTCATTGAGTAATTGACTGCCTCAGAGAAAAACGCGACAAAGTAGCGTGAAGTGACACACAGCAGGCACTGTAGATGTTTTAGCGCACTCTCGTTGTTCGGCTCGCGACTAGTCTTTGTACACGGCAAGGATAGCGTTGTGCTTCCGCAGAACGACGTCCACACAGAATTTATCAGGAAGAAGTCACGGCATGAGACACACAGTTGGTTGGGTCTAGCGCGTCCACCCGAAGCAGATCTGGATGGTGTAGGCATCTGTGAAGTTGCGGCTGTTGTTCCTAACCCAGTCTTCCCATCCACTGGACCACTGGACCACTCGCCAAAACTGCCAGGTTTCTCCATGGGCAACCCAGCATCTGGTTGCTATGGACTGGTTTGGCCATCTTTCATGGCTGAGCTCTGGCTGGTCGTCATGGTATGTCCTGCTTCCATAGGACCAACAGAGGCACACCTGTCTCTGGTTATCCAGGTTGGTATACAAGAAGTGGTCGTCAACAATGCCAAGGTTCCCTGGCATGATGGCTGGGCAAAGAGGGAGACCTACGAGCTAGTGGGCTGTCAAGTAGTAAATAGCGCATGCATAGCCATAAGAAGGCTCGGTTTGCCTGGTAAAGGTTTATGTGGGAAATGAATATTGCAAAAGCTTGTGGGGCGCGTTCAAACTTCTTGCTAGTATATTCTTCATTGCTGTTGAGTTGATATTGTGGTAGTTGGCCCAAGTTGTATGGAGACTTCTGCAATGTCACTGTGAGCCCCGAAAGGTCAGTCACGGAAAACGCACAGTCTGTTGGCACAGGCGCTCTGAGGGTGACATGTGCTTCGCTCTAGATGTAGTTGAGAACCACTATGCTGGTCATTTTCCAATCGCCTCTCCTACAGAAACATGCAACAAAGTAGCACGAGGTGACACATAGCAGGCACTGCGCCTGCTCTGGTCGTTCAGCTCGCGACTAGCCCTTGTATAGGGCAGAGACTCCCCGACACTATGTCTATATACTTGTCGTGCTTCCGCAAAACGACGTCCACACAGGATTTGTAAGGAAGAATTCGTGGTATGAGACATGCAGTTACCATGTGAACATCTAGGTGACACTCTGCGTCGGGGAGACTCTCACTGCGTTGTCCGCTCCGGAGACACGGCGGCGACCATCTGGGCCAACTGGGCGGCGTCGAGGGTGCCATCTGGTGACACGTCCGCCAGTGGGATGCGGAGCGGGGGGTCCACCTGAACAAACCTGCCAGTCTGGTCGTGGTAGCCGCTGAGTTCGATGCAATCGGGCGGCGTGGTATTAGCAGCGCGGGCCGCTTCCCACGACCGCCCAAGACGCTGGCATGGTCGACAGATAAGGTGATCGGCATCGCACTGGGTACAAACGGCGTTGCACGGCCGCAGCGAACAAGCCTCGCACCAGGAATGCGTCCACTGCCCGCAAAGTTCGCAAGGTTGGGCTCCGAGGTCTCGTCCGGGTAAGTTTTCAGCCGCAGTGACCAGCGCAAACGCCGCCCTCTTGGGAAAAGATCGCTGGCGCTCCTCGCGTGGCACTCCGCGATGGTCCTCGCGCGGATGTAGGCGCAACCAAACCGCCACCCACGCTTCCCAAGCCACTGGGCGCAGGGCAGTCATGGCACGGCGGCGTGGTGAGAGGAATGACGACGAGGTGTGCTTACAAGTGACTGGCTGCGAAGCACCGGAACCCAGTTTCCAAGTAGCACTGACGCAGCGTACAATCGTGTGTACTGTGGTATTCGTCTTCGGCCCTCGCCCGTCCTCGCCTTCTTGTCGAAGAGCACACCTGGCGAGAAAAACAAGAGAGTTGGCGAGAAACCTCTCAGATGTCTCTTGTGCTAGGCTGTTTCATGAAGCTCAGTGTGGCACCGCGCCGATGAATTTGTCTTCGTCTTCTGCCCTCGCCCGTCCTCGCCTCCTGGTAGAAGAGTATACCTGGCCGGAAAAAAACAAGAGCTTTGGGGAGAAACCAAGAAGATATCTCCTATGCTAAACTATTTGCTGAGATTAGAGGCTGAAGCTCACGGCGGCGCCGCGCCTATTTTTGTTTGCCTGCGCCGTCTAGTCCGCGCGACGACACTTCTGCAGAACAGCGTCCATGCCGTCGCGGTGATACATTTTCGCAGAGCGGCGTCCATGTCCCGAGCCTCTCAGAGACTCAAAGCCGCGTGAGCGTGCTTGGACAGCAAAGTCTCCCAATGCTTCAGTGCCCATAGAATATAGTCTCGATTTTTCCATGGGCGCAAGGAAGGTCGGCGCCGCAAAATCTGTTCAATGGCTTCCTGCGCCTGAAGACCTTCCCTGGCCATCAACGTCGCAGCCAGTGCCGCGGGGCTGCGATGTATGCCTACTACCCACTCATCAGTTCTCATCTTCCCACTCCCCAGCTACTC